ACCCCAACCGAAATTTTCACATCAAGCTCATTTTTCAACTTACTCTCTTCATCTCTTGTTATATTCACTAATTTCGGTTCCAGTTCTCAATAAATTCGGTTTCGGTTTTACATAAATTTTGTTCTAGTTCTATAAATTCTGTCATTTTGGTTTTTAGTTCTATAAGTGCTCTAGATAATACTCTCTCATTTCTATCATTTGCACCCCTTGTTTATGTTTTATAAATTATATTTAAGTTGTAAAATGTTGAGTGCTCGTGGTCATGGACTTGGAGGACGACCACCGAAGTGAAAAGATATAGCATCTACGAATGGTCAACCTCCATTGCCGACAGTATACCCAGACATTCTGAGTCTACCATGGACATGGAGCCCACGGAGGTCCAACACATCTTTAATTTATTAAAGAAATTCATGAGAGCTTACAATTTGAGAACGAGGACCTGGAGTCGGGTACCGATTATGATCCTACTGAAGATCAATGGATGGACGCTGGACCTAAGGCTGGGGGTCGGCAGTGGACATCCGACATATTCACAAGGTATTTCACGAAGTTGCCCGATACGAAAAAAAGGTGATAAAAATTTTATATGTATTTGCACCCATCGTCCCCCAACGCTAAAAAGCGGTACACTTTCAAAACCTACAATGAGTAGGAAACCATGCAACGACACATGCGGAACTATCATCTGTCTGAAATGGGGATTCCCATTAGCCAAACGCGTCTGGAGAAGTGGCATTGCATCTGCTGCTTGAATTGTAAATGTTCTTCTTCGACTTTATTCAACACTCTCATGAAAACCGTAGACGTCATCTAGCTAAATTTGGTTTTGCTTTATCTTTTCCTTTCGGTTTTGGTGATTCTTACTTATATGAGAAAAAAATCTCAAATGGCTTTAAACTCGGCTGCATCTTGGGTTCCACGTACTACTCTCGCCCGCGATATTTGGAATATAGTGAATGAGAATGACACAAACTCTTGAAAATTTAAACCAAAAAGTTTCTATTTATTGTGATATTTAGTCCGATCATTGACAAGATAATCATTATATGGAAATTACTTGTCATTGGGTAGATGATATTTTTCATTACAAAAATGTTTAATTGCTTACACGGGATTCAATTACTCCACAATACTGCTAATATCGTTCGTTAAACTTTACGTATCTCGAATACTTATAAAATTTGTCAACAAAAAATTTCTATTTCTTTTGGTAATGCTAGTGCTAATATTACTTTTGTAACTGAACTTAAAGAAATTTGTCGTCCCCTTTGTGGTGGAAATATTTTTCATATTCGATGTTTGTGTCATTTCCTTAATTTTTGTGTTCAGTCGGGTTATAGTGCTTTAAAAGAGTCGGACACGCCTATTAGGAAGGTCGTTTCATACTTGTACCGTCGCCCTGAAGAAATAAAAAATGGGAAAGACATTGTAAAGCTAATGATGTTACACCTATAACAATCCAACTGGGTTTTCTTACCTGGTTTTTCTCAACTTTTAAAATGTTAACAAGGAGATGAATATAATACTTTATATAATGACACATGTCTAATGTATATTTATTGTAGGACACAGTGTCAATACACCATTTGTGAATAACTATGAATGACTCTATAAGCTTAGTCATCCGATGGCTCCATAGCAAAACCGTCTGTTTCATTCCGTATTTCATCATCTATTTTAACCACATCACTATGCCCCATGCTAAAAAAAAAAAAAGTATCTCGACTTAAGGGACGTTGTATAGTGCAAGAACCTGAAAATTTCGTCATCACACTTGCTTGGAGAATAAATGAATAATACAACAAGCAACAGAGAATAAATTAGTCCCTAATTAAACACAAACATTACATGGTCAGAGACTGAGAATCGAAACAAGTACAAAATATCAAGTGGAATATAAAGGCTACAGCAACAGAACACCCAAACAGTCTCAACACGCATTGCAACTTTTCTTGCAGTAACCAGGAATATCGGAGGACCCGATCATGTAATCCGGGTTCTTACTGCACTCCCCAAGTGAAGCCCATTTCCCGCAGTTCTCATGTGAGTCTGTGCAGTTCCCAACAATCTTGTCAAAGGAGTCAACGTGTATCCACTTTGTAGCTGACCACTTTTCGCCCTCGTCCACTGGGCATCCCGCGTGGAGGCTCCCAGGGTCTGGGACAGCGCTCGGGAGAAGACTGAAAAACAGAAGTGCGTCCCCTTTGCGTGGCTTCACTGTAATATTTTTTTAAAAAAAAAAAAGAATTCAAGAAGAAAAAGGATTAGAAACTGGCTAGCATTAAATTGGAGGAATGTTTATATTTTGGTTTTTGAGTTTGTTTTTGCCCACCTGAAGGACCTTGTCGTCCACACTCAGATAAATCTATATCTGTCGAGACAGACCTACGTCGAGGAGACTCCTGCATGTATGATTGTCATTGTTACTCCCTTTCTTTATACTTAAAATGTCTTTTTAGGTTTTTTTTCTTGTTTTTTTTTTTTCCTAACTATTAATATATAGGAAAAAATAATTTAAATAAGGCAACAAGGAGAATAATTATTAGATTGCTTGAACTAGAGAGGACATGGAGTGGACAATTATCACTCTAGTTCATCTTTGCATTAAACACCCATGAAAGAAATAATAAAGTTTCAGCTTTTTAGCTTGTGCGGGATTATTTACCGAGGAGAACCTCTGCTCTTGGACAACCTAGTGTTCTTTTCTTTGTTTTCTGCATAATAATATTTAGTTTCTTTTACTTTGAAACCCTTTACTCCTATACACATTTCCAAACACTTGAAGTGACAGTGTTAAAATGTTTCTAAAACCTTATAATCACTTTTTATTACAGATGATTGCAAATAATCGACATTCTGCCAATTAATAATGATAACTTGGTTCACACTCTGGGTCCAGTATACGTCTTATGTGAATTATTACCTACCCTGAGTCATCAACAGAGTACCATGACAAAAAAGTTGACATAGTGAATGTTAAATGCATTTGTTCTATTGGTAAGTTGTACAAAGAGAACATTGGCAAGCCATGGTGGGATTTTGCAGCACTGACTGGCATATTATACTCTAAACGCAAAACTAATAAACCATGGGAGTTTGATGATAATGAGGAAGTGAAGAAAGTGGAGGCATGATTACCTCTGCAGATGGGAAAACAGTTTCACCACCTTTTTTAACATCAGTAAGATACATTAGCACAGTAGCTGTGCGGTGGCCCCCACGAGCTATATTGACCTTGTCAGCAAAGTAGTCGTAATGAGGGTCATACTTCTGTCCAGGCTCATACCGCAGAACTTGAATGTCTTCTCCATTTTCTATATTAGGGCAAAAGATAACTTTAAAGTCTCTTCTCCATTCATCGATTCATTCCAAAATCTGATATAAATAGATAGCTTAAGGAGATCTAAGGCGTCAAACAAATACGAGGGTTTTTTTTAACAGATAATGAAATCACATAATATGGAGATACTATATATAAAAGACATGACAGTATACAGAATGACTAGAATAGTTGCAGAAATGGAAGTAAATGAGGGACGGATAGAAAGTGAAAGAATCATAGAAACGTATCAAGAAATGAAAATAAATGAGAAGCACCGAATACAGTACAAAGGATTTTTATGTATGACAGGTGACTGTCAGCTTAACATTCTTAGTAAATCATGTTTACGTGAAATTTGAATTTTAACTAATGTGGATGGGGCAAGATGAGACAGAAAAACACAAAGAATAAAAGAAAAAAGTAAAAAGCAAATGAATTCTAAGAGGCTACAAACTGATTCACATTATTAAAGACTATGGAACTAAATTGGGCAGCCGTTACCCAGTGGTGATAACTCCATTCCGTGTGGAAGTACAAGAAAATGATTGAAATTCATAATGGCCAAAAAAAGTGACCTTTTGGTAAGAATGTCCATGTAGCAATCTTCTCTTCTATGCCAGCAACAATAGGATCCTAGAAATAGATATAAAACAAAAGATTCAAAAACATTGCACACAAGGTTGACAAATTTAAAATGTCAAAGTATGGTCAAAGGAAGATACATTCATATCATCAAGATTTGATGAATCAATGGAAACAGAATATAAAAGATTTAACTTCGTATGACATTACATTGTTTTCTACCTGTGTGCCTATAATTACACATCATCAAGTTACCGGCATCAATCACAAACGACAAAGATATAGTCATTATCAAGAATTACACATGAAACACCAACCCATGAGATCCTATGATTTTTCCAAAACATTCTACTTAAGGTTGGCTACTCAGCGATTAGTGTATTAAGTCATGAAGAAGTTATCGTATTCGTAGAATTAAAGCTACTCTTTCGTTATTCATCAAGAAGTGAAAGTCTTAACTATTATTCATAAACATTCAATAAAATGAATTTCAACCAATTTACTGGCATCACTATCTTAGTAAATAATTCTGCAGCGACAGTCCTGAGGAAACTGATAGACACACTCGATTGCGCTGAACTTGAATTTGGATATTATTTAGCCAATATATCAAACACTTCAAACTGTTTGTTCAAACAAAAATCAGAAAAGATTAAACAATAAGAAATTGGGAAAATATAAATCTGAACCTTTCCCTTCGGAATGAACATTCCCGAGCTGGTCCGAACTTCACTAAGAACACTTTTCCCAGAGAGATTATCAGCAACAGCTGACCTCTTTAGCTCGGATTTTGCCTAAATTCCATCACACCGATCAAGCAATACCATAAACATGAGAAACAAAAGAGAAGAAGGAGAAAATGAAAGGAAAAAAAAATACCAGCAATGAATCTATACTTACAAGAGAAATTAAATGGTTGCATTCTTCTTCCGTAAGAAAACCTTCGTACACAAATGCTCTAAAATATAATGCAAAATATGAAGCTCAGATATACAAATCATCAACGAATCGAGAAAATAATACGAAGTTTCTTGAATTACAACCATCTCTGAATACAAAGATAAAATAAAGGGCAAGAATTTACCAGATTAATACCTGGGTTTCCATGAGATGGTTTTGACTTTGAATGGATTGATTATTGAATTACAAAATGATTTCTGCAAGATTGATGGGAACACCAGCAGGATAATCAGTGGAATATGAAGAAACCGAGTCATCAGGACAAAATTTTTGTGTTGGATATTTGAGAAAATTAAAGCAGAGGTAAAGTGTTGAATCTAATAACTTCCGGAGCTAAATTAGATTTTTTGGTAGATCACTCTAGGGGAGTTGACGCGGACAATGTTTTAAGAGAAATGCTATAGTCATAGTTTTTAAACCGGCCCAAATCGACTCGGGCAGGTCTCCGAGTTACCGGGTCACCGGTTCAACCGCCAGGTCATCGGGTCAATTGTTGAATCGGATAATTAATTTTAAAATTTTTAAAATTATATATATAGTATTTTTGACATATAAATATACATAAAAGTAACAAAAATAAATGTTTTGTATACAAATTTGTACATTTAAGTGTTAATAATATTGTATCTCACAATAAATATTTATTATATCATTATATTTACATAGTTATTATTTTTTATATACAAAAATATTAAAAAAAATAAAAAATTTATAAAGACCGGGTCAACTAGGTTGACCCGGCTGGGTCAATGGCCCAGGTCGACCGGGTCAAGGCTGGGTTGATCGGGTTTTGACCGGGTCTATTGTTACCCAATCCAAATAGCTCACTCGGACCGGTTTCCGCTCCGGGTCGATCGGGTCCCAGGTCGATCCGTCGGGCCGGTCTGGGTAAAAAACAATGGCTATAGTACATAATATTGTACATAACACTCATATTGAGTGAGACCTACCAAAAATAAAAAATTAAGTGGACCCCACTTCATGTGAGTGTTATGTACACCTCTATGTACATTTATTGTGTACTTGTAGCATTTTTCATGTTTTAAATGCCTTACCTGTAGTCATATCGATCTAGCCACCAGTACGCGGTATTACCGATCTGATCGGTAATATAAATGGTATTACCGGACTAGCAAATATAATGATACATATAAACATACATAAAAATATATAATACCAAATGCAAAAAGTAAAAAAATAAATGACCATATTCATTAATTTCAACTTCTCAATGAGATAAAAATAAAAAAATTTAAACCAATTTAAATTTTATGTTTTTAGATTAATAAATTTTATTTTTTTTATTTTATTATTGGCCGGTATTTTGGACAGGTATTTTCTGGCATTTACGGTATGATCCTGGTACAAACCGGTATAACCGTAAATTCGATATTTTGTGGGTAATTGTACTGTACCAATGGTCGATATCCGATATTATTGGCCGGTACGGTACGGTATTTAAATCACTGGACGAAGATGTATACTAATAGGCGATTCATCTCTTAATTAACTATACAATACCAGCGGATTGCACGCTATTGGTAAAAAAAATTATACTTCAATTCTTGAAAATAAATACAAAAAGATTTCGATACAAGCAAAAAATTCCCTCTTCCCTAAAAACCTCTTTTCCCCAATTCGATCGCGTAGATCTTTGTTTTCTGCCACCGCCGCCTCCTCTTCACATAGTTTGTGGTGAGGCTTGGTGTTGATCGCCGCTGTCCGCGGCATTCGCTCTGCTTAGAGCCACGGATCTCCACCGGATGCAGGTCTCTCTGATCGTTCAAGGTGTCTCTGTTGTGGTATAGAGTACTCAGGGTTACGACCGGTGGCGTCTGGCGGGTTTCGACCGACCTCCTCAGAGCTGGTCGGTGCTGAGGTATGGCTCTATGTCCCCTCATTTCGACGACTTCTTGGTTTGGTGGTCCTAACTTGGAGGTTGTTTAGCCAAGGGCTGAAGGTGGTTGTGTGATCAATGGGTGGTTTGAGGGTTTTTGGTGGCTGGGTGGTTGGTTGGTCGGGCTGGAGGGTTCAGTCGGTGAGAGGGGTGTAGTGATCGACCTCTGATTTCAGCTCCAGGGGCAGTCCGTCCGTGAGAAGATTTTGGTCGTCTAGTGCAATTCTAACTAGCCGTGGCTACATTGGAGTTTTTGGAGCAGGCTCGAGCCAGAGTCTTATCTGAGTGGACGATTGTCTCTGGATGTCGGACCGTGGTGTGTTGTTGTTTGTTTCTTCTGTGGAGAGGAGGGTGTCATTCTATTTTATTTGTGTGTAGTGTTGTGTTGTTGTTGTTGTTTGGTTGTAGTTTTGTGTTTGTTGTGTTTGTTTTTCTTGTTTTGTTGTGTTGATACCCAAGCTGAACGACATATTATAAATAATGAAATCCGCATTAACTACTTAATATTGATCCTAGGTCGGCCAAATACTTAATACTGGCCTCAGGTCAGTATTATTATAGCCCAAAGAGTCAGCTCAATGGCATCCTTAAGCTGAAGGAAACCATATGGCGCGAGGCGAACCGATCTAGAACCATTGCGGGTGAAAATAATAAAATAAGCGTCGCATGTGCCAAAATGATGACAGATGGGGCATCACCGCCTTATCCCTGCAACCCTATCGGCCCTAGTTGCCTAAAGTCTAGCGCTGCATTAAATGCGCCCAATTCTCAATAAATGTTCGAATGACCCAATGAACAGTAACAAGGAATCTTAATATAAATAGTGCACGAGTTCCTATAATAGGTTGTTGCAATTCTGGTAATAACAAAGACATATATTCTTGCATTCACTACTACATTTAATTTCATCTGAGCTGGAAATAACTTTGACCGACCTGGTCCATTATTTACTTCTACGTGCGAATCTTCTTTTCGCCTGGTTTTCGTCATCTAAGTTCACTTAATCCAATAGCATTAAACACACATAAAATACATTTAACTTGTTAGTCAAATCCGTTTGACAACAGTTTGACGCTAGAAGGAGGGCACCATAATTTGCTTCGAGTCAATTTTCAACTTGTGGACATACACATCAAGTAACTCTCACTCTTTCCCTTTTTTCTAAAGCAATCGCTAGCAAATGACGTCAACAAGCGACGAATCGTTCCCACAATCTCAGCAACAACAGCAGGTGGAGCAACTGCACACTGCCGCACCTACGCACGTCGCGGCACCTGTGCACACCGCAGCACCTCTGATAAATTTTGCAGCGGCGTTCCAGGATCCAAAATTTGTAAATGGAATGGAAAGACTCTTTGAGTGGATTGTGGCTATGTGCATGAACCAAGCCCCAGCGGTGGAAGCACAAGGGGCGTCGGTAACGAATCTGCTGCAAACGCTGAAAAAGAGGAATGCTCAACCCGCTGGTGACAAAGGGAAAGGGCCAGTGATGCCGACGAGAGTGCGTTGGTATTTGTCGACACATATGATCGACTCCGGCCTTTAGTGTGATTGTTATTATATTTTATTATTATTTATGTTTGTATTTATTTATTTATTGTGTTGAGCTTATTTTATTTGGACTTTAGGCTTTCCAGTTAGGCTTTCAAATGATTAGGACTTATTGTATTAAAACCGACGGGATTAACTACTCTGTCACTTAATTTTTATCGAATTGAATCAGAAAAGAAAAACGGTGTCTTTGTGTTCTTCATTCTTTCATCACAGGTACGCTACATCATTTTGGTATCAGATTTGGGACGATTCTCGATGCCGCCGAGACAACGAGATGCCAAAATAGACGATCGTCTCTTACGTATGGACGATCAGATGCAATTATTCGACAGTCGGGTGACGGATCTTGCAACTGGAATCAACGATATTTGTCTCACTCTTGCTAATATGGTGCGCGATCAACATGCCCATCGTGATTTCACCGGCAGTCGTGGCGGTCGAGCAGTACCCAGAGGTGGTGGTGGGTTTGGTGGGGCGCCTAGCAAACTACTTCACCCGCCGTTGTTCGATGGTGCTGACAGTGATGGTACGTGGTCCGATGTTAATCCCTTTGCTGCGGGATTCGATTGGGATAGGGATGACGGCAATCGCAACCCACGACGGCGCCGGTCCCCCCTCACTGTGCGACTGACTGTTTTCTTCCCCGTGGATTTCCAGATCCGCAGCAGTTTGGCCCGTGTGGTGGTATCTTGGATCGAGATGGTCGGCCCTTCGCCGGAGGGTTCCGCCATGTTTTGCCTGACGAGGAGGACATTCATCGTCGGCGGGCTGAAATGCGATGTGGGATGGGCGATGTCAGCGGCGAGTTCCGCCTTGCCGCGGTTGATGAAGATGCCATTCATAGATGGTGGGCTACGGGGCGACATGTGGATGAGGAGTTAGACGGTGATTTTGCTGGAGATTTTCCTCGTCCGGGCATAACTTTTGATGATGTTCGGAATCCTCCATTTGACTGTAGTTGGGTTGGAGTTCCGGCGACGGGTGAGGGTCGCTAAGAGTCGGCTTTTTCAGTGGAAATTCCAGATTTTGCTGGTGGTTTAAAGGTAGGTGAATTTCTTGATTGGTTGGTTGCAGTTGAGGCTGCCCTTGATTTTAAACATGTCCCGGATGATAGGCAGATCGCACTTGTGGTCACTCGACTTCGTTGACGTGCGGTCGCTTGGTGGTTACAGGCATCGTTAGGGCAAACCAAAAATCACGTCGTGGGTGAAGTTTCGTAAGTATCTTGAACGGGAATTTTTACTGTTTAATTTTGTCCGTACTTTATATCAGCGTCTATAAAATTTTCGACAAGGTCAGCGTAGTGAGGACGACTATACCGAGGAATTCTATAAACTCCTCGCACGGGTGGATATACGTGAATCTCCGGATAAATTAGTTTCTCGATATATTGGTGGGCTACGTATTTTCTGTCCACGATGTGTTGAATATGTTTACTCCGGCTTCCGTTTATGAGGCACATCAGCGGGCTTTATTGGTGGAGCAACAGCAGTCCCGTCGGCCGAATTCGACCTTTTTTCCGTCTCGACAACCTTCTACTAATTCTACGACTTTGACACCATCTGCATTTATTCGACCAGTTGGGGGTTCCGCTCCGTATGGCCCTACGGTTGGGGGTCGGGGTGGTGGCCCTGTGCCTATCCGCTCCGTGGGACATAAGAGATCCCGAATCTGAATCTGAGAAGGCCTCGCTCCTACCTCGGGGTGGCTTACTAATTTCTCTTTTCCTTCCTTCGGTACTTAGCTCTTTAGCCTAGCTCTAGGGATTTAGCGCTTTCTGAATGAATACAATGTCCAGTAATTCGAGGATCGAGGAGCCGGAGGATGCAGAGTACACTGGTCTGCCCATCTTTGACGTGGAACCTGAGATTCTGGAGGAGCATGTGACGGGGGATGTGGGTCACACATTGGTCCTTCGTCGATC